GGCCCTCTGCCACCTCTGCCCCTGCATAAACTCTCCTGCACAGCCATGCCAATCTGCCACCCTGTCCCAATGGACCCTGTTTTGTCCTGGTTCAAGCCTCAGCTCATGCTACTTACTACACCATGTCCCTAGCTGCCTTCCTCCCCTCTTGTTACCTATTGGGCATTCTAAGGTCTGCTCCTGAGGCCTCACCTGACCTCTGGCCTGTGTCCTAGCTCTGACTTCCCAATGCCGTCTCTGAGCCACTCCCCACCCACACATCCTCAGGATGATGTCACTTTGCAGATGTGCAGGTCTTAACTTCTTCCTGGGAAAGATCATGAACCTCAGTTTCTCCATCTGTAAAAGCAAAGGGCTTGGAGCAGATGATTTCCAACATTGTTATAATTTTATGCAGCTCTGAATCTTTATAATGTGTATGTGACACAGGTAACTCAGAGACGGGGAGCAAGGGGAATGTTTGTTGAATGACTCGCCATTATTTGTATGTCTTTATCTTCCAGCTTCTTACTCTTTTGCTTTGCTCTGACTTTGATTTATTCTACCGAACTGAGGGAGGGACGTTAACACCCACTTAGTAGAGGCAGCTCCGAATCACTGGAAATTATGCCCATGGAAACTTGGAGAAGCTCAGGGGCCTTGCAAGAGGAGCACAGCTCCTCAGAGCCAGAAGAGCACCCACCATGCCCCATGCTACGTGCACTGCAGTAGCACGAGACCCCACTAACCAGTGTGCTTCTGGGTTTCAAGGGGAGACAGCTTGGACAGCTGGTGGCACGCATGGCCTCAGAGACCAACAGAGGCAAAGGCCAGGGGTTGGTAGGGAGGCCCCTGCTTCTAGCTCTGCAGTAAATTAAACCTCAAAACATTTATGGCAGCAGCAGAGACAGTGCCTCGGGGCATCTGGGTGGTAAAGGGGTGGCGCTTAGTTAAGCTCTAATACATGAGCCCCGCAGGAGACAGAATGATCTGTGGAACAGGAGGGCGATGCCTCCCCGGAGCTCCCTGCAAAAGAAAGGCTATGATGGAGACAAGACAGTGAAGGGAAGAGGAAGGGCGGCTGGGGTGGGGGGGAAGAAGACCTAAGGGGTCTTGTCCATCCTTTTATTTCAGATCTGTGGGCGGTGTGGAGGGAATTGGAAAGTCAGACATCTAGAAGCTGGAGGCAATAATGGTGAAAGGGCAGAGATGGGGGGATCCCATGTGGACTGAGGAAGTTTTACAAGTGACCCTCACTTGAACTCAGCCCACTGTATGAAAATCTGTCTGTTTGAACCAGATAGAACAGGGGTTGATTCTCGACTCCTCTATCTTTCCAGTTTCCAGGTTGGCTATTAATTAACGCCCTGCATGATACTTCCTATTTCCAAGTCTCATGTTCAACTATCAGATGAGAGTGGTGACCGCCAGACTCCAGCATCTTTATACTTGATCATCTTTGATTCTCGAAATAACCATGGCTTCCCTGGAATGACTCTCCCACCCCCAAAGTGATTCATTAAGTATGGTGTGTACGGAGCTTTTAGAAACCCACCTATTACTGAGAGCCGGGTACAGCTGTACCCTGCTGGATTGCTACAGCCTCAACTTCAATCAGAGCCTCCACCTCCCACAACCAAAAACATCCTCACCAGGGTCTCTTTGTTCTCCTTGAAGCAGATTCCCTGGCCACAGGGTGATAGGTATGGGGCTGAGGCAGTTTCCCAGGGCCCCAGAGAACTCATAAATTTTAAAATAAACAATCCAAATTAGCCGCAGGCCACTAGCTCAGGGAAAACAGCCTGTGACATTGAGCATCAGCTAGCATGAGTGACCCACCCCAACTTCCAAAGGCTCAAAGCTGTCAGATGCATCAAGCCCAGAAAACTGGAAAGAGAAGGGGAATATCCAATTACAATGGGGCCAACATGAAGCATGCCACCTGAGAGGAGCCCTGGAGATACTGCTGCTCCTGGGTGAGGCCCAACTTTGAAACAGAGAGGGGGTCCACGTGACAGCCTGGAAGAAGCCTGCTCAACTGTGACAGGAGAGGACAAGGCCAACAAGAAAAGCCATGGCTACCACTTACTGAATTCCTGCCATGTGCACCATGGCAAGCACCCCACGATGGAATCCATGAGGCGATGTAACCAGCACCCTTGTTGACACGTGCGGAAACTGAGGCACCAAATGGTTAAACAGCCTGCCAACACCGCACAGCTGATCAACAGCAGAGACAGGATTAATCCTGGTCAATCCAGTTCCCAAAATCCATGATCCTCACCTTTATACCACGCAGGCTCCCCAAAGTAGGGATCACAGAGCTGCTGGCCTCCCTCCCTGGAGGTCCTTCCCCTTGTTCCTTCCTTCCCACCCTATTCCCACTGACATCCAGTCCTGCCCCATCCTGCTTTCGCCAGCAGCACCAAGACCCCCCTCTCTTTGGGAGGGAAAAAGCCAGGCCGGCATCTTCCCATGAGGTACCTGGGTGGTGTGTGCAACCTATGGGAGGGTGCGATCTGCATCAGATAAAGGCCTTGGGGGTAGAAAGATCCAGAAGCCCTCTTTTCTAACAAATGCTAATCACACCTTAAACACACCGAGATGTAAAAGCTTAACCAAGAACCACTTGCTAATAAAATACTGGGTGCCTACAAGAAGGCCACTCAAAAGATACCCAGAGCCCTGTAACATGGAATAAAAGTATCAATTTCCTTTGTTCCCCTGATTCACCTGGCTTAATATTTTAGATGTATCGACTTTAGGAAGACAGCCTGCAAGGGTCATCAGGAGGGGAAATTTCCATCTGCTAATGACACCATTCACCACAGGTAAATCTGTGCTCCGGGTCCCGCTAGGGAAGCCCAGAGGAACCAAAGGAAAGAAGTGAGCAGGTTGTTTTTCAAACTATGGGCAACAGAAATCTGGACGCCTGTCTGAGACCTGGACAAAGAAACCCTGCAGACTGGACTAACAGAGCCTTAAGAAGTCATTGCTGGTGTTTCCAATTTCATTTGAATGATCTTGGGAAATCAGAATCTTCTTTCATTCTACTAGAAATTAGCCTCCTTGACAACTAGGGACTTTCATCTGTTCCCTGCTGAGTCCTCATTGTCTAGATTAAAGAGTAACAGGCACTCGCTAAATACTCATCAACTGACTGACTGAATGAATAAATGATGGACTATTTCGGTACTTGTTCCACCACACCCTCTTCTGGAGCAATCTGTGCCCATAGATGCTGCTGGACTCATTGGCCCTGTTCTCTACAGTATGAACCACCTTCCATCACAGCTACCAGATGAGGCACAGACGCAGTCCCCAAGGGTCATCAGTAGGCAATCTGTGCAACACCTGTAACTTGTGACACTGGTCACATGACAAGATGAGCTAAACAGATGCTATGCTCTACCTTGGGGATCCAGAGGAAGAGGCCCTGAGGGGAGGTTGCCACTGATGTGCACTCCAAAGAGAGACTGCAATCCCCCCCGGGTGCAGGGACCAGGTCTGTCTTGTTTCCACACTGTTCCCAGAGCATGATGTCTCCAATCATGCCATAAATAGAGCAACTGCTCAATGAAAGTTCCTGAAGGAACGAACAAAGAGCAAAATTGGGTGGGACTGCCATTATGGGACAGTACATGATGGATAAGCCAGAGAAACCAATCTAGCAGAGATGGAAGAGTCTGGATCCAATAGCTTGAAAGCATTAAAAAGTTGTGAAAATATGAGAGAGAGGCTGGTGGGTCCTGGAGCCACTGCCCACCTCCCTCTTTACAATATCCCACTGCTCTTCTCGGGCAGTGAGGATGTGTTTCTTTTCTTGCAACAACAGCAGGCCAGGTTAGAGCATGGCTCATATGGAAGACCAGATGCCTGACATAAATACTCAAGCAAATTATTGTTTGTTTCATTTGTTTGTTTTTCCATTGGGTGTTGTTAAAGGTTCATATGTGTTGAAAAAGGAGGAAACAAGGACTTACCAGGAGGTGAGCAACTTAGCTTCACCAGGTGTTCCCACCATGATGTTCTGCCTCTCCACAGGCCCAAAGTAACAGGTCCAATCAATCATGAACTGAAACTTTCAAAACTGTAGAGCAAAATAACCTTTTTCTCTTTTTAAGTTGATTATCTCAAATACTTTACTACAGTAACAGAGGATTGATTAACACAGCCCTGTACCTTCCTTCTGCACTGGAACTGTTCATTTTCAGCTTAGCTTCAAGACACTGGCCCACTTACTTGGGTCTAATCCTATGTAGTCACCAAGGTAACCGCTGCAAGGTGCCAGAGCATCACAGTGGAGGCGTAGTGGGTCACGCACTGGGTTTGCGGAATCTACTCATTAGTTCTGTCATCAGGCAAACTATTCAATATCTTTCAACTCCATGGTTTTTCCCCCAAAGGATGAATAACACTTAACTCTCAAGCTATTGTGAGAATTAAAAGTAGTGTTCATCACATAGTAGGGGCACCTGATATGTGACTTTAGTGACCTACTGTGTATGCCTGTACAACACTGCAATTCAGAGGATTTTCTCATATGTTAAGTAGTTTAAATCTCACAATAACTTGCAACATTTGCAAAGAAGAGCCTAGAATTTCCATTTTATAGATGAAGAAGTCCCAGTTTTCTACAACACTGCCCTCAGCACATGAAAGCAAGACAAGTGACCCAACAAGCAGTGGCTGAGCTCCCATGGGAGGGCTCTACTTCTTCTTTCTCAATCATACACAAGATTTCATTTAAGGATATGTGCACAAAATTTCCAGTGGCTGAATGAATCAGTATATGAAGGAATGAATGAACGGGAAGACGAATGAATTTGTATTCTGTCTCAGTTCTATTCTACACAAGATTTCCAACAAAACCTGGGAATCTCATGCAGGCCGAGAACCCCATAGGACCTCCAGGTGCTGGTTTCTCTCCCACCCCTGGGTATATCTACATCAGAGTCCTGGCAACAGGTGCAGCTCACACCACCAGCTCGTCCTCTGCCGGCCCTGTCCATTCTACGTACTGGTTTCTGCAGTCTCGTACTCGCTGTCTCTGAGAAGCTCAAAGATGTCCACTTCGACCTTGGCCTTGCCCAGCCTCTCAGGAGCGCGGTTGATGCGGTTCTTGGCCAGGGTGATGGAGAGCCGCTCCCCTCTGCTGCATTCCATGGGGTCGTCCAAGATAGCAGCTGTGGGCAGGCAACCACATGGAGACAGTTGATACACTACCCATGACCGTTATCCCTCCTCCTTCTACAGCCTCCCTTCAACTGCCATCTTCCTGTTCCAGGCAGCTCCACAAATCTCTTTCCACCTTGACATTCTCAGAACTACCTCCCAAGGAAGTTCTCTATGCACTTTAGGGTGTTGGTTTGCAGACACCTGTAGGAGTGAATTCTGATGCAGATGTGCACCAGGGAGTCCTGCAATGCCAAGGCTGGCCACCAGGGGTCCCAACTGTATGAGGTCCCTTCCCTGGGTTCAGGCACAATGAGGTCCTTGGCTCTCATATGTCTACAAGTGCTTACACAGGCATTCGTATGTGCTGTCCTTTGAAAATGGAATTCTTGGCATATGAGAAATGCTTCCTGGGGAGGGTGAAGACTAGAGGAGGCTAGATTTGCAAGGTAGAACTATGGGAACAAGGAGCAGCTGCAGGATACTGCTGAATGCTGCCACCCCAGGCTCTGATGTCCTGAGCCATGTCACTCAAGGGAGCTATGGAGCCTCTAGGAACTTCTTGTCTTCTCTCAACATTAGTAACAGTAGGACAACCTCACAGGGCTGGAATGAGGGCACAATTAAAATAGTGAAGGTAAGCAGCCCATCAGATGGACTTTATCAGAGTGACATTCAGTGTGGGTGACTGGAGTGGTGAAGTACCAATAGCTGCCCAACTTCTGGAAGCAGTGTGAAAGGCTACTGTTATGGAACCATAGAAAACTGGGTTCAAATCCTAGTTTCACTGCATATTATTAGCTTTGGGACCTCAGTTTTCCCCCTTGGAAAAAACCCACACCAAAGTGGATGTGTAACCGATGTGAATCTGCAATATGTATACGGGGTAAAAATGGGAGTTCATAATCTGCTTGAATCAAATGTATGAAATATGATATGTCAAGAGCTTTGTAATGTTTTGAACAACTAATAATAAAAAATAATAATATGAGATAGTATGTGCTCAACACAGTATCTTGAACATAGTAGGTACTCACTAAATACAGCTACTGAGATCCTCATTCTCTTGATAGGGAAAGTTACAAAATCGAAGATCCGCACACAAAAACTTGTATGCAACATTTATAGCTGCATTATTCCTGAGTGCCAAAAAGTGGAAACAAATTAAATGTCCATCAAGTGATAGACAAGAAAATTTGGTTTTCTCTGCACTAGAATATAATTCAACAATAAAAAGGGACAATGTGCTGGCTCATGCTAGGACATGGATGAACCTAGAAACATTATACTAGTAAAAGAAGTCAGACATGAAAGTCCACATATTGAGCGGTTCTATTTTTATGAAATGTCTAGACTACGCGAATCCATAGAGACAGAAAGTAGATTACTGGTTGCCTAGGATTAGGAGATTTGTGGAAAAAGGGAGAGTGACTGTTACTGAGTAGAATATTTCTTTTGGGGTGATGAAAACGTTCTAAAATTGATTATGGTGATAGTTGCTGTATCCCTGCAAATACAGTAAAAAGTACACTGAATTGTATACTTTAAATGAACGAATTATATGACATGTGATATATATCACAAGAAAGCCATTATAGAAAAAAAATCAATGTCCAACTTATCTTTGAGAGGTGGAAGGAAACAGGGGGAATCAAGCTGAACAGACTTCTCTAACACACGGCCCCTGAATCTCTGTGACTACGACGGCAGAGAGACCCAGGCCGTGCTGTCTTTTCTGTATATTGCTCCCAGACTTACTTCCACCATTTCACAAATGAAAAAGGAGACTACAGAATATTACAAAACACTTTTTATGATTTGTTGATATATTTATATCATAACCCCTTTGAATAATAAAAGTTAAATCTAAATTACTTAGGGTGGCCATATATGGGGCCTCTATAAATTGACTAGCAAAGTCCATGCGAACCTGAGGTGATGGGCCCCGTGCAGGAGTGACCAGAGGACTGTGAATGTGTGACTGAAGAATTTGGGCAAGGTAACCTCAAGGAGCAAGACCAGATAAGATGGTTCCTTGGGATGCAGAACTGAAACAATTACACTGCTACACCAGGATGCCAACTTTAGGACTGGAAGAAAAGAGGAAATAGAGGAGCGCTCCTCAAATAGTGTTCCTTGGTGGAGCCCTGGGGCTCCTAGAGATGGACAGAAGGCTGACTGAGGGCATCTAGCCCCAGGCCAGTTTCAACCAATACATCTTCATATCCACTGGTTATAGATTCCAAGGTTCCACATAAGACTTGATGTGGGGGAAAAGGTTTTGTGGTTAAAAATACAAAGAAAACATTTAGAGCATCTGGAATGTCAGGAACTTGTAATGTCACCAAGCATGAATCATGGGCAAGAGACCCCAGGCCCACAACACATCACCTTTATATTATTCAATGACAACCCTGGGGTAAGTGCTTAGTAGGTACAGTCTCTCTCAATCTCTGAAACAACTCTGCAAGATGGGTGTTTATCTCCACATGGAGATGAATGATTGAGTCCACCATCTTGAAGCTGGAGAGCAGGAGAGGAGAAGGTGAACTCAGGCTGGCTTGACTTTGGACCTTCCTCCTCATGAAGACCTGTTCTCCAGGGACACGAGTTGAAGGCAGGGTGCAGAGGCAGGACCCAGGAGACTTGTAGGCACTGTGAAGGAAGTGTCTCCAAGGCAAATCAACTCTGAGACGCCAACAGTGACAGGCTGGAGCCTGGGCCTCCAAAAATATCCCCAGGTAATTTCCCTATTTCCCTCACCCCACTTACATGAGGTTTTATTATTTTGGGGGTGGGGGTACCAGGGATTGAACTCAGGGGCACTCAACCACTGAGCCACATCCCCAGCCCTGTTTTGTATTTTATTTAGAGACAGGGTCTCACTGAGTTGCTTAGTGCCTCATCATTGCTGAGGCTGGCTTTGAACTTGTGATTCTCCTACCTCAGCCTCCAGAGCTGCTGGGATTACAGTTGTGTATCACCATGCCCAGCCAGACTTTAGATTAGAGTAGCTATCCCTCCCTTTGGGCCATGTGATCTCAATATTACCAACTTTTCCATCTACAACTGTTATAGTTTAGATGTGTGAGAGATAATGCAAGGAAGCTTAGAGGTGAAATGATTGGGTTCCAAGAGCCTTAATCTAAGTGCATTGGTCCCCTGATAGGGATTAACTGGGTGATCACGATAGGCATGCAGAGAGTGGCTGGGGGAGGTGGGTCATTGGGAGCATGCCTTTGGGGTTTATATTTTGTCTGTAGTAAGGAGAACTCTTTCTCTCTGCTCCTCAGTACCATGTCCTAAGCTGCTTTCCTTCACTCTTCTACCCTGATGTCCTTCCTAACTAGGGCCCTAAGAAATGGAGTTGGCCATCTATGGACTGAGACTTCTGAAACCATGAGCCCCAAAACAACCTTTTCCTCCTTAAAATTGTTCGCATCATGTCTTTTGGCCACAACAGTGAAAAAGCTGACTAAAACATCAGCCTACTAGTTATTTAACAAATCAGTTGTAATGAAATAATTTCTCAGAAAAATGCCTGTCATGGTTTGGATCTAAAGTGTTCCCCAAACGCCCATTTGTAGAAGCTTGGTCTCTGATCTATTCAGCCACTGGGAGGTGGGTAAGAAAGTTAGGTCCCTTGGATGTGTCCTTGAAAGGGACAGTAGGACTCTGTTGCTGTTTCTCTCTCCCCCCTCCCTGCTTCCTGGCCACCGTGAAGGGACCAGCTTGCTCCACCATGTGCTCCCCACCATAATTTTCTGCCTTGCCACAGCCCCACAGTGATAGAGTCAAGTGACTATGGACTGAAACCTCCGAAACCATGAGCCAAAATACATCTTTCCTCCTTTAAGTTGATTTATCTCAGGTATTTTGTCACCGTGGTGGAAAGCTGACTAACAATGCCCACACACTCTGAATCTGGGAACTCAGGAACATTTTGACCTGGATGTTGGAGTTACAGAGTCATGCTGGACTTGTCCCTGTATCATAGCTACACAAAAGGCACAATTAAAGCTGTACTGAAGGAAGTAGCACTCATTGAAGGGTCTGTGTCAGAGCTGATTGGTTCCATCTGTTCTCTTCTTGCAAAGGACACGTTTAAGCTGTGTGCCACTGATTCCATGGCCTTTGTCTCTCCCACATACATGGTGCATCCCTAACTCTTAAAGTGACTATGCTTGGAAATAAGTTTTTAGGAGGCAACTGAGATTAAATGAGGTCATGGGGTGGGACCCTCATCTCATAGGATTAGTGCTTCTCTCAGAAGACAGCAGACAGGCTCACTCTCTCTACCACGTGAAGACACAGTGAGAAGGCGGCCATCCTCTGTCAGGAAGAGAATCCTTACTAGGGAACCCAAGGAGCTAGCACCTTGATCTTGAACTTCCCCACCTCCAGACCAGTGGAGCAGTGAAGTTCTACTGTTGAAGCCACTCAGTCTAGGGGACCTCCTTATGGAAGCCCGAACTGATGAAGCTGATGTGTTAGCACAAACCCAGAGGAGCAGGACTGCCACCAGTGTGTAAATGGACAACCAGCTCACGGCACCACTGGGCACACTCGAGACAGAGATAACAGGCAGGCAATTAGGGAATGTGAGAATCTTATATTAAAGGGGATCATGAGATCCCCTCTGCACCCCCATCTTATTTCCCACCCACAAGGTTGGTTTAGCAGGGATTCTGCACTCACAGGCACTTGGCAGGTGCCAGCCAATGCGCTAAGGTCCCACATCCCATCCTCCCACCCTCCACTCCCATGCTACTCTGGGCACCATTTTTCATTAAGGTTTTAGTTCTAGACAGTGATTAATTTCTGGCTGGGAAAAGCCTCACTGGGTAGTTGGTTGGCATCAAACATATTGGGATCAGGATAATTGGGATGACAATAGGAACCAGATTCTGGGGCTGTGGACACCAAAGACAAGGTAGAGGCTCAGGCTCTCTTGGGACATCAGAGGGACATATCCCCACCAGGCAACTACCAAACAGCACACTTGTTCTTT